CCGCACGCGCCCCCGCCGCCCGAGGCTGCCAGGAGGAGGCCCGGGGCCGCACCCGCACGCGCCCGGGCCGGCGGCTGGACGCGGGGACCGTCTTCCCCTGTGGGCGGCGAAGAGAGCGGCTCAGCAGGTTCTTGGGAAGTCCCTAAAACCCAGGCCCGAGGGTCACCCGGGTCTTGTGCCTCATACCGCCAGCAGGGAACAGACTGGCGCAAGGAAGCCCCTGGAGCTGAGCGGGCAACTGAGGAAACAGGAGCCCTGTTCCCAGCGCCTCACCTCTAAAAAGAATGGCTTATGTATAGTCCTTAGGCTGACTGGGGAGGAGGGGGCGGCTGCGGGAAGGCAGACTGGACAAAGTCCCTCCATTTCTTTATCCCCCGTGTCTTCGCTGCCCGCCATCCCTCCTCAGCCCCGCTCTGATCCTTTGATTCCCGGGACTAGATCTCGTTCGCCGTGAATATAATTTAACCGCCCCTCCCCCGCCATTCGGTCAAAGGGCCCCTCTGCGCCCTCTGGCGGCCCCGGCGCCCCTACAGAGTGGCACGCACCTGTTCTTGCTTCTCCGACCAACAGCCAAAATAAAGATGCTTCAAACATCCGGGAGCAGCTCAACCACCGAGCGGAGGTCACCGAGGGCAGGAAGCGTAACAATGAATTCCTGGCGCTGCCTGCTCTGGGTGGCAGTTGACTGGGAAGAAAAGCAGCCAGGCCTCCTGGATTCCATTTATTCCACACAGTTCTGCTCTAACATTGTGTCCTTTGTGCCTGGACCGCACAAGGTCTTTTTCTACACATTGCCCCACAGACCCTCTCAGCTGCTTCTTCCTAGTGTGACCTGCCTGGCTGCTCTTCAAATACCTGCCAGGCAGTGGCTTTGAGAAATGCCTGTGCAAACACTAGACTGCTCGTGCAACCTCTGGAATCTAATATTCGGCAGCTCAGGGGCAGCAAAGGCAACAGAAATAGGTAACTGCCAGGGACCTACAAACCTGGAATTGTCAAGCAGATTGTGTGAGTGTGTATGGGGCGGGGGTAGGGGGCTGTTAATTTGGTTTTTCTATTCTATCACATTCAAATTTTTCTTGACTTTAGTCTACACTGCAAACTACCTCTTGTAAACATCCCTTCTTTGTTTCCAGACCAGGGTTAAGTCGCCCCAAATAAGTAACTCCTTCCGAGAAATGCAGTGCAAAGTCTCCTGGTTGTATATCCTGGGAACACCAAAGCATCACACAGGCTGTGCTCTTCCTATCGAGTGCTACATAAGGTATAGCCTCAACATTCACTCTATAGCTAACTTTTCCTTCAGAATTTGGATCCCAAATAATTTGCAACATCGGAAGTAAAGCTGCAACCAAAGATTTGTAGGCAGTGACTGTCTCCATGTGACACAGGGGTAGTCCCCTCAGGACTCTTTCATGGCCCTCACCCCAAAGAACTGAAAGTTTTTGCCAAGATGAATTTTAGGGTAAACATTGTTCTCTACCTTTGTGTAAAATGAGAATGGGGGGCTAGCCTGGTGGCACAGTGGTTAAGTTCGCATGCCTCACTTCAGCAGCGGCCCCAGGTTCACAGGTTTGGATCGCGGGTGTGGATCTACACACTGCTCATCAAGCCATGCTGTGGCAGCATCCCACATACAAAATAGAGGAAGATGGGCATAGATGTTAGGGACAATCTTCCTCACTAAACTAACTTTAAAAATAAAAAATAAAATGAGAATGTTGGCACAGATGATCTGTGAGTGTCCTGGGAACTGCTTGCATAAACAGGTTATATGCAAGAGCAAAGTTCATAGTTTCATATGTTAGGAGACTTGCAGGTCACTAGCATTTCTTCCAATCACATCTCATCTTATATCTCTAAAGTATTTTCTAACGCTGATTCTTACATTTGAATATAGTGTCTTCATCCCCCTTGAATCAGTTATAAGGCTTCATGAAGGTCTAAGTAGTCCACTTTTTGTTTTTAGCAATCCTCATATAGTTATCTGACACCCCGTTGTCCTCTTTTCTAGATTGTTTTGGCCAAAGAGACTGGATGTTCAGTATCAGCAAGCTAATTTCTTTCCAAGTCTCCTTTTCCCAAGGCTCAGCTTTGTCCTCTTGCCCCTCCCCCTCCCCCTCCCAAGCCAAATGGTGAAAACACACGTTGGGTCAGTCTGTCATCTTATCCATGTTGCTCATAATGGTCTAGCAGTGCCCCATTCTCAGTAACGTTAGGTAGATCCAAAACATCCTCACTACATGTTCCCCAAACGTTCTGCCCCAGGTAATGGGATAGAAAAAAAAAAGCATGAAGCACAATGTTTCTTTTGGGGTTGGTCACTGGCAAAGTTTTGGGAATGCCATGTAGTACTCCTGGTAATAATGCTTTTTTCTGTAGCACTTAGCACTGAACACTATGAGATTATTGCTATAAGATGGTCAATGGAGCCTCAGCTTTTAGGCCTATAATTCCAAGTTCCAAAAAAGAGCGAACTCATGAGAATTTCCTAGGGCCATACCTACAGATTGCGCCCAGGGAGTAGAGGTGCCACACTCAAACATTCCAGAATATTAGTACTTTCCCTGAACCAGCACCCATTTTTAGCTGCTCACATCAGAAAACAGCCAACTTCATAAACCTAGACTCAAATGACATTAATAAGTTATCCCATTGATTATAAGCTCTCTAGCCACTAGAAAAAGAAATAAGCATCAACCAAGAGGTAGCAGAATGAAAAAAAATCACTGATTTGAGACCATTCAGGTTGCAGGAAAGAAAAGAACATTTTTTTTTACCAATATGCAATTTTATCTTCAATAGTATAGAAAGACAGGGAGAATTATCTCTCTTACCTGGCTTTGCAGTCCATTTAAAGTAGAACACCTGTGAGATGTTAGGGAATCATTAAAGATAAATAAGCAACGTAACAAGTCCCTGCCATGAGACCAAAGTTATCCTTGACTACCCTACTAGTAAGCTAGTCCTTAGCCAAGAGTACTAACCTGTAAGTGGAATGCTAGTTGATCCACAGAAATCTCTGAAAGATCTAAATGTGATAATTATTTTCCTAATGGAGTGATACCTTACAATTTCCTATCCTATAGATCATTTAAAAAAACCTGGGGAGTATATCTATTGGATCTTCTCTCCTTTTTTATAGGCAGCATGATGACATCAATTCTCCACTTGGACTCCTTGAGACAGATGCCCCTGATTACTGAGTATAAAGAGGAGGAATGAAAGTCTCTTACAAATTCATGTACTTAGGGTCAGAAGGAATATCCTAGTGGTTTTTAAAAAAGAAACACTAAATGAAATGTCCAATGACCTTTGGAACTCTGCCAAGAAATAATGACATTGGTTAGTGGGGTACAGCAAGTGAAAGGCCCTGACGACATCCTGCTCTGCTTGTTCTGTTCACTCTTAGCAGCAGTCAGGGCACAGCCCCCATTGCCAGTGCCGACACAACTCTGCTACAAAAAGCTCAACTAGTATGCCAAGAGGCCAGGAATTCCTTTAATTTTTTTTTTTTTTTTAAAGTTTAAATGGCAACACAACCATAAAGTTGGTACATCACAGAAACAAAGGTCTTTGCAGGCAACACTGATTGGGAATAGCAAAACACTTGGTTGGTGAAAAAAATGAAACTAAATTATATACAATAGTAGCTAAGGGTGATATTGAAAAACAGTCTTATTTACTGTGACTCAAGATTTAACTTGCCGTTATCTATTGCTTATTTATTCAGCGTTGTAAATAATACTCATAAAGAGACATAGAGATGTGTAAAAATGAAACATTGTGAAAAAAATACAATTCTTCAATTTCATATGAAACTCAAAGTATAAGTTTTGTCCAATATGGAATGTACCTACATTTGTTTATATTAGGGCTCTAAAATCCATTTAAAAATTGTTTTTTGTTTTTAAAAAAGAAAGAGCTGACCCACCATGCAAGTTCATTGTATATCTTGCTTGCTCAAAATGAGCATTTTCAGGTGAGGTCTGTTTTTTCTGCCCAGAGTCTACTATGATTCCTTAGAAGTTGTACTGGCCTGATCGTGGAGAGTTTCCATGAAGAGTCTGATGGCAGCATCTGGATGAAGGACAGTCTGGGTAATGGGAAGTGAGTAGAGAAGAGAGAGGTAAGAGCCCAAATCCTTATGAAGGATGACATTCAGTTGTTAAATTTTAAGGGGTATCCAATGGCTTTTTCCAGGCATTCAACCAAAGAGCCAGCGGAAAGAAAATCCCTCTCTACTTCTACAAATTTGATATAGATGGATTTAGGGGAAATTCCAGGATCCACAATACAGTTCTGAGACAAAAACCCATTAATACCAACCCAATCTTTGCTGAAGGTTTTGGTATTTGCTTGGAAATGTAAAAATAAGCATTGCTGCAGAGTCCTGACCTCAGCAATCCCGAGGTAGCAATAGATAATTCGAGTGGGTTCTATTTCCACCTGTAATGAAGCTTGTGCTGAAAGGGTTTCCAAGTCAACCCGGCCCTCCTTTCCTGGGTCCAGGGTACGTCGCTCCATGTGGGGTGAGGGGGGCCTCTCAATACATTCTTCATAGCCAATGGCATAAAGGCCTGGGCTTTTGGGAATGCCTCCTGGCAATAAATATTGAACAACGTTCCCACCAGTTGGTTTGGAGTGGGCGATAGGTATCCAGTCAATTTCCATGTGCAGCTCCAGGCACCTAGCTTCACTAATAGTGATCTCTAAATATTTGTAGTAAACATTTTTCCAGTTCATTTTCTGCACTCGGGTCATAATGATCCGTCCCTCAGGCTTCTCGGAGTTGAAGTATTCCCGGAGTCGCTTGCCAAGGGGCACCTGGGAGCTGATCTCAGCATAATGGTAACGGATATCTTCTTTCCAACGGGTGTTATAACCAATTCCAAAAATGGCCAGTTTATTAGAAAGATGAAGCCTTGAAAAGTCTGTCCAGCTCTGAAACAGTTCCCATTTCAACTGTACTGATTCCAAAATCTGTACAATATTCTGCATGATGTCTCTCTTCCTAGAAAGAGAAATAAAAGTCAAATTCCTCAGGTGTCTAGATCAGCACTGTCTAACAGAACTTTATGCAATGATGGAAATGTTCTATGTCTGTGCTGTCCAACGTGGTAGCCATTAGCAGTTAAAATGTGGCTAGTGTGAGGTATTAAATTTTTAATTATATTTAACTTAAAATTACATTTAAATAGCCACACGTGACTAGTGGCTACCATATTGGATAGTACAGGTCTAAATAATCATCTGAGAAACACTCACCCCTAAGAAGTTTCTAGGAATTAATGATAAACTGTTTCCCATTACTTCTATAGTCTGGCTGTATTAAACATAGTAACTATCAATACAAAAGACCCTAGGATTTCAGAAGCCCAAGGATCATAAATTTTTTAAAATGGCTATTATTATGCATATGATGGCCTTCAGACCTAACTACCAAAAGCAGGTGAAGGATGTATTCAGAAGGGTATCCAGTATCACTTAAAATAATGTACAGCTTAATTTCTAACCTGGAAGTTCAATAATTTTGGTCCACACATGCTTGCTGTAGGAAAATATAAAACTGATTATGACTAATGACTTGATACAAAAACAAAATGACATTTTCTTCTGTTTGTCTGAAATTATTATTCCCAAATTTAAAAAAGATCTCAGTTTAGCACAGAATGAAAATCTAAGAATTCAGAAGGAAAAGGTCCCTATTAGACTTAGGTTTTAAGAGAGAAAAATTCAAGGTAATGAATTGAGACTGTTCTAGCAAATATTTTATAAAGGGAAGCAAAAGTATAGAAATTATTTCAACTTTGATTTGGATAGTTAACAGAGTAAGACAGAAAATACAGGAAAATTCTTGTTTCACATGCAGCTTAACTCGTAACTGTAACTGGTACTTCATGATGATTCGTATTATATATGAGGATATGTAACTACAAATTTGTTTCAGGTATGGCAAAACTCTGATATTTTGGAGGATTGAAGTCTGTTAAATGTTAACTTAGCAACAAACTTATACTCTACATCAATTATAGGTTTAAACTACAAAAATAGTCAACTACCACACTCGCATACAATCAAACATAGGCAAGAAAAGAGGGTGTACATGCTGGTTTGCTAACAGCTCCTTAGGAGAAGACAGATCCTTAAAACTTTCCTATTAAATTCTCATACCTTCTAGGGGAAGAGCTTTTGGAACAAAATGGGGAACCTTCCCCATAGTCATTCTCAGTCTTCCTCTCACTGTCCTTGACTTTCTTTGTGAGATGACAAAGAGCTAATATTTTGTTATCACCTGCTCCTTGGAGCCAAAGACTGCCCTGGATTTACATTCTGTCCTTTAGTTTATCTTGAAAGCTTCTCCAGTATCAGAGTGGCCATCTAGATGGTATCACTGCATTCCAGGGGAACTGTTCCCCTTCTCAGAGTACACAAAGGCACCCGATGACCACTCTTCTAATATTTAGATTGTGGTGCTTGTGAGGCTAAGATACAGGACCATGTTTCTGCAGGGGTCTATGTTTTAAAGAAAAACTACCTTTCATAGCCACCATCATTCCTTGTCCTCTTTGCAAATATTTTACTGATCTCAAGGAGGACTAGGCTGAGGAGTTGGGACAGAGGGCAGAGACTGTTGTGTTTTCCTCACTGATATATCCTGACTACAGTAGGTACTTGATAAATAAGTGGTGACTCTTCCTCATGAATAAAGGATGGTCTTCTACTACAGGGTATGTCCGCTAATTCAGGCTAATCCCACCTACAACTAGAAAATCCAACAGCAACTAGAAGGATGTGCAGCTATGACATACAACTATCTACTGGGGCTTTGGGGGAAAAAAATAAAATAAATAAAAATTAAAAAAAAAGAAAAAAGAAAAAAGAAAATCCAATGCCCAAATGAAGTTATTTTATTCAGCACTGTCATAGCCCTATATCATCAATAAGGAACAGTTCTGAGGAAACTGTGGCACTGGAAAATAAATTGCCTACTAGGAACCTCTCTAAAATCTCTCACCCTGTGAGCTGAAACCTGGAGAAGAGGCAGCATGGGCTGGATATTTCTGCAGAGCCTGTCAGCTTCCTGCCCTGCTGCTCTGATCTCAGCCTGAAGGTCCCTGGGCTTAAGACTCATATCAGCTTTTCGAAGCTATAGAGCACAAGGAGAACTGGACCCAGTTATTTAAATGGTTCCTGAAAACTGTCTGTTGTATTTCCTGATTTCTGAAGTTCTGACCATGGGAAAAGTTCAGATGGTTTGAGGTTGGTGACACCAATTCTGTGAAGTTTGAGTTCATCCCGTTATATCAACTGGGCCTCCCCTGTAGGTCCCAAGGGGTTAAAGGGAAAGATGGGCCATTTAGTGAAAGAGACAATGGCTTCTTTGAAGAATAGGAGTCTGAAGGTATGGACTTGTAATAACTCATTTTTAAAAATACTCCTCAAAGTTTCCCTTCCTTTGGGACATTTTGAAATCACAATTTTAAAAGAGACCTACCTCCCAACAAGAGGTGGCCTCAAACTTACTGATTTGAGTCATAAACTTCTTTTTTGAGGAGTGGGAAATGGTTACAATTTGGGGGAACAATTCTTTTTTTTTTTTTGTGAGGAAGATCGGCCCTGAGCTAACATCTGCCAATCCTCCTCTTTTTTTGCTGAGGAAGACTGGCCCTGGGCTAACATCCATGCCCATCTTCCCCTACTTTATATGGGACGCCGCCACAGCATGGCTTGACAAGCGGTGCATCAGTGCACGCCCGGGATCCGAACCGGCGAACCCCAGGCTGCTGCAGCGGAGCGTGTGCACTTAACCGCTTACGCCACCGGGCCAGCCCCTGGGGGAACAATTCTTGATCCCTGGCATCAAGCTGACACCGGGAATTCTTTGGTTTCAAAGAGATACTCTGAAAAAGGCAGGGGCATTTGCAAAGGGCTGGTGGTGGTGGTTTGCTGAATGAAAACAACTAATGTTTCTTCTCTGTACTGCTTGTTATCTATCTATCACAGGCCTTTCCAACTTGCCTCTTCCTCTCTACTTTTTCTCCACTTTCAGACATCAAGATCACATGTATGAAATGAAGTATACAAGAATAAGTGGGGCTATGAATACTTCAAGGTTACCAGGTGAAAAAAAATGGTGTTCCGTACTTTCCCCCTAAGTTTATCTTTTAATATATTCTCTTCAATAATTAGATTTAATCAGGGACTTACTTAAAGTTACTTAAAAGAATCACAAACATCACTGGTAACTCAGAGAACTGTGACGTTCTTACAAAAGAGAAAATGGTAAACTGTTACGGGAAAGATCAGGTGATACGAGTCAGTGGACAGACCCTGGCCCTGGACTTTCTTAGTCTATCCTCCAGCAACTGCTTTCTTTTACAAATGTATAAATGGGTCATCTAAGAGTTTGCTTTTTGATTCCCAAAATGTAATATTATAAGGAATTCAAGTGTCCCTCTGGCCCTCCTGTCATTTCACCTAACTGCAGATAAACTCAGGGCCCTGTAACTCATCTTTGTATCTTAGTTAAACATCCAGCTATCCACATTCACATACAGGCAAACACCATAAACATGCTCATTTTCATGTAACACATTTATTTCTTCTTGTTGTATACGTTTTAGACTAACCACTAGAAAACTTAAGCAAAGGAATTGAGAATGACTAGACACGCTTCCTCAGTGGCATGGCTATAACCTCCACAGCATGTCTAATTACAGCAATGACTTTCTGGATCTTCCCAATGGTCGTTAAACTTAGATAAATACACTGTGTAGAAAAGTGAAGTATCTACTTACTGTGCTTCTTCAGAAGATTCTTGTTTTATTTTTAATGTTCTCTTTGTGACAGGTATATCATCTGAAAAGCAAAGTTTTTGAAACAAATTATACTTTCCTAAGTGGTGGCATACATTTATGTAGATAAGTAATGTTTACTGTTCGTTCCATACTTTCTGATGTGAGGCCATAATTCTAGTGTCAAACACTGTCCAATGCCAGATTTATAAATATAACTCTTATACAACAAGATGCATACATTTATATGCAAGATCAGAAAACAGCTCTACAAGTATAAAATTCTTCAAGGTCACCAGTGGATTTCTAGCTAGGAGCTTAAAGCTTAATTTCACTGCAAACATGATTTTTAAAGGAACAAGAATGAAAATAATTATTTTCTATTTCTGTTCTATTTAGATTTTCTATGTGGGTTTTACAGAGCAAATATTCCCCCAATATTAGGATCAATATACTCTGCATGTTATTTTTTGCCAGTGTTTGGGTGACTTAACAAAGTCTATGACGAAATCAGAGTTATGAGATGCCAAAATAATTTAGGCCTTATTACTATTTTGAAATTAATACACAGTGGTCACTGAGCATCTGTCCTTTTTACTCTTCCAATCTTTAAGTCTGTCTTACACTGTATTAGTTTTATGACTTCTTTCTTCTCTCTGTCTCTCTTTCAATATTTGAGAGATTGTTTTTTCAAACAGCATTCATAAGAAATATTACTTTTTAATCCTTTTTCTTTTGAATTAGCAATTCTCTATCATCAGGAATTCTGTAAAAGAGTGCCCATGGACTTTATCTTAAGCTAGGGAAGCACATTTATAGTGCCAGTGCTACTTATTCCTTGGAGGTTGCCTGAGCACCTCCCGGGGGAGCCAGAAATTCTACTGGTAAGTGAGCACTATCACACACTTGCTATTAATGCACAATGACTGCAGCAGACACTTGATTAGTACTTCCAAATTATGAAAATCAAAAGTGGAGCATTTACTGCAAAAAGAAACAAAAAACAACTATATATACCCTCTTAATTAAGCCACACAAGTTTAGATTTGATGGCCGGAGTTTTCTTTTCCATTTTTAAAGCTAAGACTGTTTTATAAATCATTCCAGCAACTGTTGGGATAGGATCCTTTCGAAGTTTGAAGGAGTATGATCACTGATAAAATTCAAATATCAGCTTTTATCGAGATAAACCGAGGCCCCCCTTCATTTTTTGTTCAGAATAAAGTCTTGGAGGGACCTTTTCTAAATCAGGAACAGAAAAGAAAAAGTATTTGGGATAAAGGATGGAAAAGGTAGTTACATCTATAGCAGTTGAGCCAAGACTCAATACTCCTGGCAGTCATTGTAGAACTAGGAGATGCAGGATATTTAAAATTGCATAGGATTCTACCTGTCCCTGAGCTTCCTTGTGTAGCTCAGAATTAGGAATTCTTCTGAGTCTTTAGGAATTTTGCTGGTACCCAAATCACCAAATGACCAACACCAAGCACTAGTCGGCAGTTTAAGACTAAACCAAGGACACCCAAATTGCCCCAAATAAGACTGGCTATATGCCTTTTGCTGACAGTGGGAACGGTATCAAAAGATATTACAGATATTAAGCACTGGTGCACATATAAAGGTATATATACACACACACAAAAGTATCATATATATTAGCTTTCTTACCCAATTCCTGATCTGTTGGATAGCCATGGAGCTCCTGACTGTGGTTTCCCCAGTCCTCCTGTGAATACTCCTCCATAGTGCTGCCATCTGACTCCAGCTCCTGGTACAAGCCACTACTGTTAATAAGTACAGGCTGGCAGGGCTGAGCATCCCATCCTCCCTGACCAAACACCTGTTCCAACTGTTCAAATGTGTAACTGCTCTTTCTTTTCCCAACACCATGTTCTTTCACCCGACTGTAACACCTGCGAAGGGTCTAAGACACAAAGTCTTTTGTTATTCCTTTAAAGCTGTACTTCCTCTTCCAGGTACGGACCACAGATATTAATTACTATTAGACAAACACAGACAGACAAACATAGACACATTGTTACAGGAATGCTAGATTTCAAATTCATTATTATATTAGAAAAAAAATACTAATTTAGCATTTACTCAAACATGTTATAATTCAAACAATTATTTTGCAATTAATTATCCATTAAACAACAAGAAACATTACAACATTATTGCATGTACCCCATACACATATTTTTATACCCCCACCCCCATTTAAAAAGAATAAGAAAAAAAAAAAGAAAACAAGAAATACCAGCCAGCCAATAGGATGCACACCTACCACAGAAGAGAAAGAGCTGCTGTTGTGCCCAGAATTTGGAAAAAGTGAGGGAAGGGAGGACAGAAAGAAGAATTTCCCAAAGCAAAGAATAGAACCTTCCTCACTATTGGTTAAGAAGGAATACAGGGTAAAAACAATTACCTACATGAATTAGCTAGTAAAACATATTACTTATATAGTCCATATTCCTTACTAACTCACTGTCTTTGGGAAAGTTGCTAAAACTTAAAAGAGGTCAAATCAATAATGCTACAGATTCCCAGTCTCAAACATCAATTCTCAAGAAACAATACACTAATATCTACGTCTAAAAATTAGCCAATAATACTAGTCTATTCTACCAACTCAAACTGCCAGCTAAACAAACCAACAAATGAAGCCAATAATTTCTTTTTTAGGGGGAAAGTGAGGTGGAAGGGTGTTATTTCAATTCTTTTTCTGCCTTATGGCAAAGAGCAAATAAACATCATCGTGTAAGTCTACAAATAAAACCTAGATAATTATCTTGCACACTCTTCAATTTTCTTCATGGTCAGCTAATGCATATTTCTGATTATTAGCCCAGTTTCCTTAGTTTAATGGTATATCTTATGCTATCTTATATGATATTTCAAAGATAAATCAAGGACTTAGTCCCTGCTTCCAAATTTAGTTTAGTTACATTCCGTCTCTATCCTACGTCTGCCTCCCTTTGTTCCTTCTAATCTCCCTTCTACTTTACCGGGCCTCACTCAGAATTTTCTTGAGACAAGACCCTTTCTCCCTGGTGGCTCCCAAATACCTTCTAACTCAACTGTGCAAAATCAGTTCACCTCAGACAATTTATACGCGTTAGCCAGACTATCAATTTCTCCTAAATGTGAGATTACTTTCCATAAGCCAATATATCACCTTTTCTCACCAAACGAAAACAACTCTCAATAATCTTTATAGAGCCTCCATGCAAGTTCAGTATCTTTAAAGCACAGCTGACAAACTACAAGAAGTCATTCTGTCAAATACTTTGCAGATCTGTCCTTTGAGGTCAAAAATCCAGATGGGCAAAAGGAATAATAAAAGCATGACACATAAAATGATCTTCCTCAGAAATAAACAAAGCAATGATTAGAGTCACCCCGTCCTAAAACCAGCCAGCTTTCCCCCTGCATAAGCACCTGTCTCATTCTCCCTTTCTTGAGATCTCTTCTGGTGCCTCAAATGATGCCTTCAAGAACTAAGGTTTCTGATAATACACTCTTTAAAGAAGGAAATGTTCCTTCTTTCTCTTTGTAAAGGATAGTCACAACTATATAACACAGAACTTTCTAGAACAAATCAGTAATGAACTTGGGAAGTGTGTCATGGACAACCCTTCCAATGGAAGGCGACAGATGCCTGCAGCAGATCTCATTTGACTTTCTACACACTCCCCCTTCCCAGTGCCCTCTGCCCTCCTTGCAGGGATTGGAATTTGAATTGCAAACATCTCCTGCCAATTTATTTTTATCTCACAATGTCTAGTTTCTGCCTCCAAGAACACCCCAACCACTCTTTTCAACTCCTCCAAGGACCGTAAATGGAGAGTCCTAGCCATGTCCCTTTCACTCTTCCAAGGCCATAAATGGAGATAGAAACCATGCCACTGCTCACTATGTACTGGCTGCCTAGAGAAACGCATTCAGCACACAAAAGAGCCCAGTGAGATCTGTCACTGAGGGTAATTTCAGAAGTTAAGGAATAAAACTAATGTTCCTTTGAAGAAAGGTGCCACACTTATCAGGATATGACATAGGCATAAGCAAAGCCACCAATCTTTGACAACATACATGGTGGGAAACCACAGAAAAGATTTACTTTCTTTGAAACCACCAAATAGAGCTTAAAATTTCACTTGGCTTATGTAATTGTGAATAAGGAAACTAGCAATATATAATGGTTTTAGATATGGAAGAATAATTAGATGATATATTTTATGTTTCATCAAGAAAGCCTAACAGATCTTTCCACCTCTTTGTAGTGTGCTTTTGTAATATACTTTAATAGTGTAACATGCTGATACGTAAAATATCTAGTAGGAGACTGAAGGAAAAATGTTTGGTAACTCCTAAATCTATATGATAGGAATTTGATGTACTGAAATAATGTTAAAAAGATTTCCAAATTGATCTGAACTCTCTCAAGACATAAATACACATAAGAGGTAACTTCTGGGTTCAGTAAAGACCACAGATCCAAGCAGAGGCTGTTTAAATAGGACACGTCAACTAAGGAAAAAAGTAAGACTCAACATCAGCTTGACTGCTACGATAAGAAACACTGAGATTTAGTTAAACTAGAGGGACTTGAGAAATGGATAAAAAGGATATATGGAAACCTTCCAAATCTTTATCGCCCATAATAAATCAGAAAAGGTTACACTTTCCACACTCTAAACGATTAACCAAAGCAAACAATTAAATGATTGTGTGTCTGTGTTAACAGTCCTAAATAAACCAACTTAAAAACCTACTCTAAATCTGAGATTAAGATAATGCTCCAGAATCTAGGAAAAAGGAAGTCTCACCTCCCATTTCAGACAGCCATACCAAACACAACAAGAACCTCAATTTAGCTTTCTTGGAGAACCATTTCCTATTCAACACAAAAACCTTGCTTCCCTTCCTTCTTCCTTTATCTCACTCATCTTGGAAATTTATAGCAACTTAAGCTCTAGCATTTTTTTAAAAATTAAGATCTCAGGGGGGAAAGAATTTGCTTAAAATTATTAAAGACTATTCTTTCTAGTCACAATTAAGAAGAACAATACTTTCCTTATTGTTAGAAATTTCCACGGTAAATGGATATTACTGTCTCTTCCCTGGGGAAGAGCTGTGAGATAATACTGTATCTTGAATGAAGTCATAGGAACAGAAGTCAGGAGGAGTCAGGAAAATCTGGGTAGAAGAACTAAGTATAGGGAACAACTTGATCAGGTGGTCAAATCAGAGGAGTTCACAGGTATTTGATTGGGAAGAAACGCCAAGTGAATGCTGACTAAATCCACTATGCCAAGTGTTTAATGACTAAGTGTTTAAAAGGAAAAGAACCAGAGAAAAGACTTGAAAGACATCCCATTACAAAAGCAGGGAGAAAAATAAGACGGCTGACAACTGACAATTTATAGACAGAGGGAAAGTTTTGCCAAAGTTTAAGATTAGAGTGAAAGGAAATTAGAGAATAAAGATAACATTCATTGTGGATGAATGTAAGGGGAGTCTATGGGGGAGGGGGGCAGGTAAACAAAGGCAGGAGTTTTAGATTGGCAGGATTGGGGGTTTAACGGCAGCAATGCAGAGAAAGACCCAGGGTTACAGTACACGTAACATTAAATACAGTGCACAATGCAGCTATCTTGCCAAAGTAAGTAAATCCAGTATTGGGTTGTATAAGCAGAGGAATCACATGTAAGCTATGAAGGTGGCTCTTCCTCTCTATTCAGCACCGGTGAGGCCACAGCTGGAGCACAGCATTCAGTTCTGGGCATCGAACCAGCTACAAGAGAGGGAAATTGTAGAGTTCAGAAAAGGGCAAATAAAATAATGAAAGGCTTGGAAAATAAGATCTATAAGCAGGGCCAGTGGTTTCATCAAAGCCCTTCCTGACATTATATAAGCTACTTTTGGGGTAAAAATAAGGTTTCTTTTGCTTCAGTATCCTCCAATCCCTCCTTTGACTTTCAGGAAGTGGGAAAAATTGAATTCTTCTCTGGTATGGCAAAGTAGGAAGCAAACTAAATAAATCATATGGACATATGCCAACAAATTTTGCTTCTGGCTCAATCATTTTCTCAAAATTTGCCCCATTTCATACAATCATAAAATAACCACCATAAAACCACTGTTCTAACAGAACTGACTACGGGTGGAACAGGGTATCTAACAAGGAGGAGTAGAAATAAGGCATAATAGCTATACAAATGTGTCATTTAGAAAACACTGGCATGATCACTCTAAGATGTCAGATGAAAAATGAAGTCACATTGCAGCGAGGACAGCTTAGTTATCCAGCAGAAAACGATGTTATGAGAAAAAACAAGCAGTGAAAACAGATTTTCAAATGTAGTGGTCAAAGTGGCCATACTAGAAATGGATTATATAGTTTATCCTAACCCTCCGCCAACTAAATATGGTGAATTTGAGATTCTTTTAACCCAAACGATCAGTGATAAGTGCAAACTTACTTGCAAACAAAGTCTTAAAAATCACATATTACATTCCACAGGAGACAGGGGAAATTACACCGGAAGCAAATCTCCAGTGACTGATTGTTTATTAAAGTGTTAAAAACAACACCTCAGTCTAAGCAGCTGTGTATTGTGAAGCAAAAAAAGTCTTTGTGAAAGAGATCTATTTTCTTCCTTTAAAGTTATTGCTTTACTGTAACTGTTACAACTAGTTGCTCTTAATTAATTGGGGCAAAAAAATACTGAGTTTATTTCAATATCTTTAAGAAAGACTCAAAATTTCTTTAATTAGTTTTATTTTCTTACTGTGAGCACCAAAGGTAGGAAAGAAAAAAACCTGAAAAAGCAGACATAAATAAATAAACACATTTCTGCACACAGTAAGAGGGCTGTTAAGAATATAGTATAAATTACTATATATATCTCGACACAGAACTGTAACTCAAGATTAGGAAGTCACCTAAGGCAAAATCCATCTGGGCCAGCAGAACTTTTAGGTTTTCTACACATTAAAATCTGGCAAACTGACTTGCCAATCACCTAAATCCTCTTAAACCAACCAAACAAAACCCCCAACAAAACAAAAACAAAAACAAAAATATAACTCTTGTTTCACAGCCTTCCCTCCCACCCCCCCCCCCAGTTCTTAGTGCTACAGAGGAAGTTTTGGCAAGTGAAAGATCTTTTTGTTCTTACATTTTACTTTTACTTTTCCTCTCCACAGCAGAGGTTCTTAACTTTTTTGGGTCATGGATCCCCTCCCTAGAAAAATGCACATACAAAACTGTTCCATACAATTTCAAGGGGAACATGAACTCTCTGAAGGGCCCATATAAGTACCTCGAGTTAAAAAACCCTTGCTCTATACCATGTGGTTGTTTCTTCCATAAAAGAACGTAACAAGTATTAGTCAGAAAACCTAAAATAAGGTAGACTTAATTTGTGTCTTAGGTTTTACAAGAGATTCTCAGATTGGGACAATCAGTTTAAGTACAATTTATCCAGTCTGCTCAGTATCCTGCTCATTTAGATAAAGCAGCATTACTATTTCCTTTAAGAGGCAAATTAGCCAAATTCCCGTTTTGTAAAAGAAACAATCTCTATCAGTAAAAGCATAGAAAGATATCAATTTACTCTTCACAAAAATATAGCATTTTTTTCTACCTGCGGGGGAAGAAATCTTTTTCTAAAGTGGCAATTAAGCAATATTAAACAATTCATAAATTATGCTGATTATCTGTTCCAATTGTATTACATAGTACTTGATCATTCATTATCTGATTAACTTATCAATATAGATGCTAGATAAATTACCTAGGGTAACAAGTGAAAACAGGAAAATTCACACATCTAGAAACAAGTATAGGAAAGTAAGCCTTGACTATGTTCCTTAGTAGTCACAAAGGCCAAGTTTTAACATCTTCCCATTTTAACACTGCCTAAAGACTAAAGGGTCTCAGAGGAATAGGCAATGTCTACACTAATTCAATCCTTAACCCAATGGGATCAAAGGCTGATCTATTAATCTGCTCAAACTGTTCATATTATGGTAAGCAATATCTTCTTAATTGCTAAGAAGAATGGTCCTCAAATTTAGTCCTTAACTCATTTGACAATCCTGCAGCACTTATACTATTCATTACCTATCTGTGTCACTATCTTTGCCAAATATATCTTTAGTAAAACTTTCTATAATATACTGATTGACAGGAGGGGGGTGGAGCTGCCCAAGGCTTTAACGGCAAACCAGGTTCCAACTGCCAGAACATTATGGAAGTTTTGAATGGAAAAGAACCTTAGAGATTATCTAATCCAACTTTCTCACTTAACAAGTGAGGAACCAAGGCCCCAAGACAAATACGTATTCCTTCAAAAGGGATTTGGCATATAAAAATTACCAAATGCCATTCACAAAATGTTTCCTAAGGGAGCTATTCCACTAGATTGTAAACTCCATGAGGTAGGGATTATGTCTGCCTTGTTCAGTTTCTCTGAGCCCAGAACAGTGCCTATCACATTAGGATTGTTCAATATATATTTATTAAGTAAATGAATTAAGCTAACTTTAGTAAATTACTAGCAAGAAGATCAAATTTTTCTTAGCAAAGAAAATCAGGAAACTCACTGTCCAACCACAATAGTGGATATTTATAAAGTCAAATCCAAGGTAGGTAGGGCTCCTAAAACCTTTTGAAAAAAGCAGGAGCAGAAAAGGGTATAAAACAGATACAGCTGCAAGTAGCAAAGCAAATATATTTTTTTGTAACAAAGGAAGACTAACTGCAGAGGGCAAGGCTATTTTAAAAATATCTACCATTCTTCTTGTTATATTTTTCTTGGGGATTTGGGGAGGGAGGGGCGGGTCACCTGCCAAATGGAACTCTACAGCTCTGCCCAAATTTTATTATTTCTTATGCCTTACAAATTAAACAAATAAAATATTCAAGAATATAAAGTAGTTCTGTCAGATAGAAAAGGAAAAGGACTCAATTGTTTCCTGGATTTTAATAGGGTCAAACAGAAGAATGACCACCAGAAACCAAGAGATCTTACCTCTCTGGAGCCTCAGTCTTTGTGGGGGACTGTCCAGGATTGAATTCTATCAGCTTGCACTTCATTCCGAATCTGGCTATCAACGACTCACTTTTGTTTCTATAACTGGTCAGTACTGTCTTCATGAGGGAGAGATTCTTGCATAAAACAGATAATTCAGGAAATTTTGATTCTCAATGAGTATCAGCACCTATGTTTTCTAGGTTCCTCCATGCTAGCAGCTGAGGGTCTTGCCCATTCAGATTAGGAAGAAAACACCCTCGAGGAGGACAATACTAATTGTCAAAAACACACAACTTCCATTGCTCAAGGAACTATATTCACGTGACCATAAAGCTTTGAACCCTACACTGCAGGTAAATCATACGGCTACTCATACAATATCTCATCTTGGCATAACATTATAAAAGCCATACCTAGTATGCGTGGTCATGTTTAAGGACTTCTTTGGGATACAAGAATCCTTCTAGACATGGAATCCTCAAGTGCTTCTCTATTTAGAACAAGACAGATCAAAAACTTAGGGTATACTGAACTACTTAATATTTCAGACATAAGCAGCAACAGGTAATTACAGTCATCAAAGATGGATAATGCTATTTGTCTAGAACTTCCTCCCCACCTAAAAGGGAAAAAAACTCAGTTGTCTGTAAAGAACTGACTTGGATTAGAGGTTATTTTCATGTGACTCCTACTTTCACCTCTGAAGTTGCTACATCGGCATCTCTGTTGAATCTTTTTCTCAGTACTTCACCCGCTGGGGCACCACCTCAAAGTGGTATTTGGATGATATTAAAAATGTTAACTTTTATTAGTATGTGGTAACTAAAAAAAAACACATTCAAGAGAATTATCTAAAATATTTCTAGGATAGCAGGGCAGAATCATTTATCTTTAAAAGGCTTCCATACAAACATCTTGCATTACGCACTAATTGTTCCATAATCAACCATGTCTAAAAAATAAGAACTACACACATGTACACACACACACACATTACCAAAAAACCTCACACAACTTTATTGTTACAACATTGTATTGCTTCCCCAACACAAAGGTACCTTCTTCTATTCATGAGACCAATGTTCAAAAGGGAAACCGCAGGGCAGGTTTTCCCCCCTGAAATTATAGGCTATTTTATTCCTTTCATATGTTGACAGTGTGATTCTCTCAGTTTTGCAGTTATTTTCTTACTAAAAACTACCATCTACAATGTAAAGGTAACCTACAATACAGATTTTTTCCATTAGCAAATTTCATGTATTTGGTTGTGAATAAAAAATAATCTTGATATCTAGATAAAATCATCTAAAAAGTAAGGTTATTAGAAATCCTCCATCAAGATATCTGGGTACAAGCATTAAGTCAAGATTCAGTCAATTGTTAAAAAATGGTAAATACTGAATTACTTCAAAAAGTGTGGTTTTGCATTTACATGGTGTAAACTACAGGTCATAAATGCATGAAAAGAATACATCCTCATATCCTGACATATACCCTTTTATTGAAAAACCTGAAAATAAGCATGTTTTAAGTTTAAGCATCTGTCCTTGGGTGACTGAATTTATTGAGGAAGTTGTTAGAAAGAAATCCAGGCAATTATAACACTTTTTATAGCTCGTTTGGTAGAATTTTTGTATTTTATTCTTACCTTTATGAGGATTGCTAAAAGCAATGGCCATATGAAAAATGTCTGTACCTTCTACAAAAATCACACATTTTCCATAGTTGGCTCAATGTCCCATGTAAGGAAGGTTAACCATAACTACCATCTCCTCAGTGCCTACTGTGTGCTGAGATCTGGGCTAAGCAGTTTACATTTATTATTCCTAATTTTTACAATAATCTTAAAAGAGAGGGTCTCAGGATACAGACTCTGAGAAGACTGTGTGCAGGAGGTTTACTGCGGAGGGCTCTTGAGAACAACACTTGTGAAAGACTGAGCAGGATTGAGCAGAGAAAGTTGAAGACAGACACAGTTGCAGCAGAGGCCTTAGCTAATCCTAAAGTGAGGTATGGAACTTGGATGACCCTTCAGAGTTGTTCTGAATTGAGGCAAGGAGGCTATACCTTTGTTATATCAGCCCTGACCAGTCACTGGATTCAGGCAGCCACCAAAGAGGGGGTCTCACCTAGGGGGAGACAGCTCCCTTGGGCAAAGGGAAATTCTTGGGAGGAATTCAATCAGAAGCCCTCATCAATCAGTGCTCCTGGCAGCTGGGGTGACTAGTGTCTCATTCCCGGAGGAGGGGTCTGGGCAGTGTAGCACATACACAGGGAAGGCATATGATATATCACTATTTTACAGAAAAGAGAACTAAGAGAAAAGTAAGAGCTTATCCAAGGTCACTATCAGAGGATCTTTAATGTAAATTCATCCTAGGTTTCAAAACCTAAGTATGCTTCTCTTCAGAGACATTGAAAAGCACAGAAAGTCACTGTATTTACCTTTTTGCCATAGTTGCTGGGAAGTTCATACCTCATTTTAATATTCAGCTGAAGTAGCCATATTTACCTGGGTTACTGCTATATTCCCTGCACTCTCTGATTTCTTATTTTCTGGTTGTATTTTTAGCTTTCTTCACACATGCATATACATTTGTTTTTTGGTGAGGAAGATTAGCCCTGAGCTAACATGTTGCCAATCCTCCTCTTTTTGCTGAGGAAGATTGGCCCTGGGCTACCATCCGTGCCCATCTTCCTCTGCTTTATATGTGGGATGTCTCCACAGCATGGCTTGATAAGCCGTCCACAGGTCTGTGCTGGGGATCCGAACCTGCGAATTCACGGCTGCTGAAGCGGAGCACGCGAAATTAACCACCACGCCACTGGGCCAGCCCCTGCATATACACTTTTTGGTATATTCATATTGTATATTACAAAACAGTCCATTTCATCCCAGTCATCTCTAAGGAGAAGAGTACCCAAACCATTTACACATCAGGTGAACAATAGCAGACATAAGGTAGTGGACACTCTATGGCCTCCTTTGGTAAGCCACATCCTTACCTGCTTTTACTGTCAAAAAGTAATTCTACTTTGTAAATGTTTCTCCTTCTGTAATTCAAACTTACTTCCTTTAAGAGGAACTGGTAGTCCAATAAATATGATCGTTTATATAAAGACTTGAATGAATGACTGAATGAGTCTTCTACAATAAAAGCTTTATTTATGTTTCATCCCCTGTTTTAAATTCTTCCTTGGGACTTCCAAATCAATGTTTCTCATTGTGTTTATAATCTTAGGACACCATGAATTATCTGCAAGAATTTTTAAAATTTGTGTTTATTTCTGTAAGAAACATGTATGAGCATAATGATGTCCATCTGGGTGTTGCTATATGATTTTGTTATTGCCTTTATGACTGTTTATGATCACATTGTTGCCAAAATATTACTTCAATTGTCAAAATTTAATAAAGATAGGCTGATGATTCATCAAGGGGCAATATAACCAAGTGGTTAAAAGCATGAGCCACACTGATCAATCAAGCTTCACCACCTGCGCTTTGTGACATTAGACAAATTAATCTCACTGTGCCTCAATTTCTCCATCCGTAAGGTGGAGCTAATAACAGTACCTCATCGTAGATTTGTTGTGTTAAATGAAAAATACAAGTAAACCATTTACAACAGTGTCTACCTAATAGCTTGTACTCAGTAAATGTTAGCCATTATTATTATTATTATAAAAATGACAGTCACACCACATGGAGACCAAGGTGCCTTATGTATACAGGTTAGTTCAAGTAGAGAACAAGTAGCAGCAAAGTTTTATCACAAAGCACACAGTAAGGAACAACAAACTCAAAAGAACCTTGCTGCAGCAGTCAGTATCAGAATCTCTTTTGGAAAAGCAAGTAAGTTTCAGCTAAACCACATCATGCAATACTAAAGGAATGCTAGCTTGATTTTTTGACTTTTATTAGTACTTAAAGTGTTTTATAAAATTGTTTTTGATAACATGTGAGATCTATAAGTAAAAGGAGTTTACATCTAGATTTAGGTTTGTTACATATTAAGTAACATTTTTATATGAACATGTTTTTGCCCATACATTACTCAAGTTTCAGAAACACCTGGCTATATCATCATAGCTTCTTCAACTTTGTGCTCATATTTCCTCTTTTATAGATAAAAGCCAATCATTTAACCATTTTCAAAGGTTTATAGTCTTGGCAAGAATATGGTGACTAACACACTTACCTATAAACAAAAGGGGTAGAAAGGTATCCTAACTACCTAAAAGGTATCCAGAGTGAGGAGCAGGCCTCACTCACTGGGCAACCTGTTTACAAGAAGCAGGAGGCAGGCAAAACTTGGCATGAATCAAATAAGAAGGATGAATGACACATGTATTTTCTTGAGTTCAAAAGAACAAAAAGCATGTAGATTTACATTCCTTTTTTGGTGCATGGAAATTTACCCAAATTAAAATCAGATTTACCATCACTTCTTGAAAAATAACTTGTCACTGTAGCATAACCATGAAATGTTAACATTTTTCCCTTGATTTTTCCTCTTAATTTTTAATGTGGTTTACATTACATATATAAAGAAAAAAACATTATTTTATACTGTTCTAAAATTGGCACAACTCTGATCTCTCAAATTCCAACTATTAACCATGTTTCCTAATTTGCATGAGAGAGGAGACATTACCTGGTTTTGCTGAAGACTGAACCTCAGGACCCAGCACAAGGGTGCTCATTATCTAATGACTGAATGAATACTAACAATGTTGTACTTTGCTGCTTGGTGGGGCAAACCTCAGTGACAATTGGACATATCACAATAAAAAGGCATATTATAAAATCATGTAAATCATTCTTAATAAAGCAAAGGCAAATGAATTTCTATTTCTTATTTATAATGAAAGGTAGACAGCTCAAACTTTCTAAGGTCAATAAGGCTGATATCAAAAAATATCATAGTTGAGGGTTTTCTAATTGTGTTAACTGTTTTGAATTACATAATTTTTAAAATTTTTATTTTTATTTATTTTTTGCTGAGGAAGATTCACCCTGAGCTAACAACTATTGCCAATCCTCCTCTTTTTGCTTGAGGAAGATTTGCCCTGAGCAAACATCTGTATGTAGCAGTCTTCCTCTATTTTGTATGTGGGTCACTGCCACAGCATGTCCGCCACCAAGTGGTGTAGGCCACCCCTGGGAACTGAACCTGGGCCGCCAAAGCAGAGCATGCCAAACTTAACCACTAGGCCACGGGGCCAGCCCCCTGAATTACATATTTTAAAGATCATATTGTTTTCTACCAAAATGTAAGCTCTTTGAAGGCAGGGTTTTTTTTCAGTTTTGTTCACTGATGTATTCCCAGCAGCTAAATCAATGTCTGGCATGCAGAAGCAGCTCAATAGATTTCTGCTAAATGAATGAATGAATGAATGGATAAATGAGTAAAACTTCCTTAAGACTGTAATATGGCAGTTGAGAGATCAGTAAAAGGTAGAGGGACTTTTTTACCTATCATACTCTTCTTTCTAAATCATAAACCAGCTCTTTCCATTTAGAGAAAAGTATTTGTAAATTTAAAATAATAATAATAAAAGCAGTTTTTGGTAGATATGAACTTTATTCTGGTTTTATTAATATCAATTACAAACATAATTGACTTATTCGGATAAATGAAGTAATGTGAAGGTAGATAGTAGAGAAACAATATTACGAGTTTCAAAAATTCAGGCTATTACAACAAAGTAGTCTTACATAGGCTGAGAAAATGTAACTAGAAAACATATCTAAGTAAATAACTTCCATTCTACCGTATCAATTTATATTGAATGAAGTATTATTTGGAAGCTTAAAATATGTAATTTATGAATACAGCCAAGAACACATATATAAAAATGATGGCTGTTATTCCTAAAATGTCTGAGAATAAACACAGGTTTGTATCTTACTAAGGAATAACAACACATACCACTAAGTGACAAGGTAACACTCACTTGATTAGCGCCAAGAAAAAAAAGTATTTCCACTGGCTCTCAAGAACTCTCTCAACTACAAATAGGTAAGAATTATACAGATTAAAATACATGCCTTTTTCCAATATGCAGACATTTTTCAATTATTCAGAACAATAGGAGGGAAGACTCTGCATAGACTACAAACTTTAGATAATTTGTAACATATGCATACGAGGCACAGATTCATTAAGCATTCATTTTGAACACTGAATGAAGTTTCTGCAATGGTAAATAGTAGGCAGAAGAACACATTGCATGAACCCCACAACAGAAATAAAATTAATAATCACGGCAACCCTAACAATCAGTTGTTTAACAGCTAAAGCTTATTATAGTACTGGTCTTTGTTTTTGAAACTCAAGAAGTTTTTTCTCCCATTTTTTAACATTTTTTAAACATTACACAGATATAACCTTTCAAAGGGGAAAAAAACTGCTATTCTACCTCAACCTAGTGATATAAGCATACTTCAGAGTGCCTGTGTGACAATGAACATTTGAAACTTTAGATCTGAATTTCAGTTCTTGCTCTCTGGTAGTGTTAGGAAAAAAGAAGGCAGGATCATCACTCCTGAAGATTGGAGAGCAGATCAGAATCCAAGAGTCTATATAGAGTATACCCTAGAGGTAACACTGACACGACTGTCCTAAAATGGTGTTTTAGCTGGATCTCATTGGGTTCTAGAACCAACTCTAAAAACTTAAGCTATGAAGTATTGCGATCATCTTGGAGGACCACAACAAAGAATCCTCTGTGTAAGTTTGTAGAGAAGTAAATAGTGAGTTGTGTGACAGGTTAAGATCTAACAAATCCTATAAATTAGAATTTTCAGATTCTCCAAACAGCCCCACCGATTTTGATACATCTGAAATCTGTTCTCTTCTCTCCGTGTTCACTGCCTGTTTTATTTCACCTTTTGTCTAGCTTACTGTAAGAAGCCTCCAAGTGATCTTTGTGCTTCCAGTCTTACTCCTTCCAATTCATTTTCCACATTGCAGCCAGTTCTAGAACCTAAGACTGACTGCATCACTCCCCAGCTTAAATTCCTTGATGATTAAGATCAAGTCCAAACTCCTCGGCACATCATCTGACCTCCTGTTTATGTCTCCAGTCTCATTTCTTACCACTTCCCACCTCTTTTCACCCTCTTCCCTCAAACCCTAGGCTCCAGCTATCTGGAACTACATAGTGTAAAACATTTTATTAGAATATCTGGGACATGACTCGTTCCAAATTAATGACACTTCTGGAGTCTTTATACCTTAAATCTAAAAGAAAAAGAGCACAATGATTGAAAAAAACTTGATCTCACCTCAGTATCTTCTAATCCTCTTTCATCTACCTCCAGTTTATGGCCCATCCCTGGGCTAGGAAATCAGTTTTAGTGGGTTGTTGACCACCTTTCTAAACACCCCAAGTGGTGATGAAATGACAATGCATAGGCGACCAAGAACTGTTCTGGTGAAGAGCACTCAGGGGCAGCGAGGTGACCAGGGAGACAGGGGGTGAATGAGGGGCTGGTACAGGTTAGAGGGGATGGTGCAAGTGATGGGCATTTGAAGATTGCCAGTTTGGGGGAGGGAGATTAGCTGAGCCTGTGGGTACAATGCATACATGTAGTAACAGGCAGGTGTTCTGCCCCACACCAGGTGTTGGCGTACATCAGTGGGACCCTGTCAAGCAAACCTGGAGTATCCCTGGTCTACCCCATGCCCTCCCGGAATGTGTCCCTGCAGCTGCAAGGCCTCCAGGAGAAAGACACTGGGTCCTACCTCTGTTCTGTGAACATGCATGACAGTCAAGGCAAAAACAGGGGCCATGGCAGCAAAAGTTTAGAACTTGATGTGCTGGGTAAGTGAGAAGCACACCCTCTCCAATACCCCCCACCCCCACGGGAGGCCAGGCAGGTCTCTCCCAAGTGGCTGATGTAAAGGTTGGAGGAGGGACAAATGGAGTGACAGAGGGTATGTGTGTGGGAGTGGGGGGGATCTGTTGGTCCCTTCGGTGTGAGATTTTAACCTGTCCCCCTCCCCCAGTTCCTCCAGATACTCCATCCTGCCGTCTCCTGGGCGTGCCCCGTGTGGGGACCAACGTGACCCTGAGCTGCCGGTCCCCAAGGAGTAAGCCCGCTGCCCAATACCAGTGGGAGCGGCCACCTCCATCCCCTCAGGTTTTCTTTGCACCAGTTTTAGGTGAGGGAACTTCTGGAGACAACTGAGACTGTGGCTGGGGTGGGGGAAAGGCCAGAGGTAGCAGAGGGACTGGGGTGAACAGGGGAGGCTGGGAAGTCCTGGGGAGGAGGAGGATGTGGGGAGGGGTGGAGAAAGAGGGCCTGCCCGGTGCAGGCATTGTGCTGGGTGCTCCCCCTGCTGTGCTTGTGTTACTCAAGAGGCTCTGGAGCTACACAGTCTGCGTTCAAATAGACTAGAACGTATCAGAGTGTACTGCACATAAGTATAGCGTCATTATGTGGATTATATAAATTAGTATTTGTAAAGCAGTTAGTACATGGCACATAGTAAAGGCTACATAAGTGTTAGCTATACTCATTATTTTGTGAAATTTGTTTCAGTTATATATATATATTATGTGAGTAGTAGACCACAAAATAAAATATATTTCTTTTTCTTGTATGCTCAAAAAAGATGCATTGCGGGGCCAGCCGGGTGGCGCAAGCGGTTAAGTGTGCGTGCTCCACTGCTGCGGCCGGGATTGGCCAGTTCGGATCCCAGTTGCGTACCGACGCACCGCTTGTCAAGCCATGCTGTGGCGGCGTCCCATATAAAGTAGAGGAAGATGGGCATGGATGTTAGCCCAGGGCCAGTCTTCCTCAG